GGCGGCCCCGGCCAGGTCAGCAGGAGCACTGCTGCGCCCACAGCGAGTTCGGCGGCACACCCGCATTGGAAGGGCCAAGGCCTCCGAAGCCCAACGGGGGTCTGTCACAAGGGCTGCTAACTCTAGTTTAAAAAAAGGAAAGAGCCCTCGAAAGCGGCCTTTCTTCAAGAGGCCGGTAACGTCCAGCATGGGAGCATTCTGGCGATTTTAAGGGACTGCTAACAGCAAACCCCTCCTCCAGGCTCTTCCTCTGTGAAGACTTTGCATAATTCAGGTTAGGCCCCAGTCCAGCAATGCCCTAAATACGGACATACCTTTCAGCACATCAACTGTGTGAAATTAATGCAATTGCTAGTGTGCTTACATATGCTTTGTTGGATTAGGACCCTGTTCATCTGCTGAGGGTATTCAGAGGTTTGCCAGAGGAGAGACACTGCTAATTTTAAATATTTTACTGAAAATAATGTATTTGGTATCTTGCTTAAGTTTTTGAATGACTGAAGCTTTTTCTGCGCTAGTTTAACTGGTTATCCAGACGGTTCTCAATATCCTCCTCATTCCTTTGGATGACCAGAAAGCACTTCATTTTGTATAACACTCTTACGTTTAATCTGCCAAGTCTGCTCTTATTCAGAGATTTCAGGGATTATTTTAAGGCACCTTCTCAAAAATACATCACTGTAGTGATGCAGTACACTATGTACCAACCCCCCTATTTAAGAATCCTCCCCAGTATAGATAGTATCAATTATTGTCAAAATATGACAACTATAGGAACGTCACTTCTTTGCACATCATTTTTCCCTGCACACCTTGTAGCTATACAGTGGTTATTGAAACTTTAAGTATTCAGGAGGAGTGATGCTCATGGCAATGATTGCCAGCCCATAGTTGGGTTAACTTGTTGAATACTTAAGGAAATATGTTATGATTAAGTAAAGCACTATTTTTGTCTCGGATAGGAAGGACACAATCCTGAAGCAACATGTTACCAATATTAGAGGGTTTTTTCCACCTTTGAGTTTAGTACAGAGTAGGGCCAATCATTTGACGTATTTTTAAAGATTTAGAAGTCTGTTCAGTAGTGGAAACTTCAAAAAGGTAGTCTCCTACAGACAATGAGGAAAAAAGCTTTTCTAATAGTAACAGTATTTTTAGATACAAGAACCAGAGTGCTTATCAGTTCCAGTAGTCTGTGTGGTTTCTTACAGAGTACCTCTGTGGTTAAGGCTTTGATCCTGCAAACACACACTAACTTTTTGCTAAAAGAAGACAAGTTGACAGTCTGACAGTCCTATATCAGATCAGTGCATTGCTAGTTGGTCAGTATTACTAAGCACTTGCCTTTCACTGAATAGAAACCAGTTCCTTGAGCAGTGAAAGTAATTAAACCTAGCTTCTAATGGATTTTTCTCCTCTCTCTCTCCTCACCACAGGAACCTCCCACTTCACTCCCAGTTCCTGCAGACCTCACCTCTGAAATGCCTCCAGCTTGCCCACACGCCTTAACCCTTTGTAGCCCCCCAGCACACTCATGCCTGTGAGGGACAGTGCCCCAGAGGGAGCACCCAAGGCAGCTGCTTCCTGGCTGCGTGCACACATCCAGGTTCTCCAGCCGGCAGACCAAAGCATTCACATTTCCCTCCTTCCCTCAACAGGACCACTTATCTCAGTTTTCCTCCACTATCCATCATCATTACACTTTTCAAGAAAGTTACAGGAACCTCAGTGTCTTTGAGACTCATTCCTCCCTCAAACTGGGGTGCAATTACCCACAGATTCAGAAGTTAGTAGAGGGCTGACTGGAACAGACCCCATAGCAAGACTGCACAAGCTTCATTACTGTAGGAAACAAGGGTTACAAGGTCTCAAAGACACGTTAAGAGGTCATCTAATCCATTTTCCTGCTCCAAGGTAGAATCACCTATGCCTTCGTTATTCCTCACAGATGTTTGTCCAAACAGCTCATGAAAATCCTCCTGCAGCAGAAATTTTTAAACCAAACTCTGAAACCTGGTCTAGTGTTTGTCTGGCCTTACCATTACAATGTTTCGCCCCATGATATATAACCTAAAACTCCCATTATAATTTTAGCCCATTCTTGAAACACATCAGTGAACACAGAAACATTTTTTTCCGTTCTCTGTTTTTGAAGACTTTAATCTTCAGTAAATTACATCAGTTCCTGGCCACCACTGCAAGGCCTCTGATCATTCTTGTCTTTTCTCTCTGCATACTCTGCAACTGCTCCTTTTATTTTATTTTTTTTTTGACTACAGTTCTGGGAACTGGACACAACGCTCCAGCTGAGGCCCTTTTAAATGCTGAGTAATAAAGGCTGACTCTATGGGGATGCCATTAAATTAGCAGTATCAGTCAATATAATTGCAAACTGAAGTCAGTCTTTTTGACATGCCATTAAATTAGCAGTATCAGTCAATATAATAATTGCAAACTGAAGTCAGTCTTTTTGAAATCAAGTTTTAGTAATTATTAATGTATTGACATTACTTTTGTATGCATTGTTTAGTAGAAAAAGTACCTACTGTCACCATGGAAGTGTATAATACCACTGTGGTTGATAAAGTTATATATATGTATGTAGGCCTGCAGTTTAATGGGATTACTGTGTTTCCTTACTAGACAATAATGTCTGTAAGCCTGCAGCTTCATATTG